GTAGGGGTTCGAGGCCCTTAGATCTATCTCCCTCATTTTTCCTACATGAGGGAACTAAGACTTCTATTGGGACTCACACCTGAGAGCTAGCCTATGCTCTCAGGGCTATGCAGTGGCCACGGGCACCGCCTTCCAGGTGGTAGGTGGGCCTTGTCCAGCAGCCCTGCATCCATGAAACCCTCCCTCATCCCCAGCATGTGTGGAGCCAGCTGGACCATCCCTCAGGTCAGCAGCAGCAGCGGCCTGGGACTGGGTCCCTCAGATGCCCTGTGGGCCTCAGATGATTGCTGCCTCATTTGTTTGTGGTTTGGCTTTTCTTTCTTTTTCTAAGTTTTCGTCTGAAGTTGATTTTCCCAGCATGTAAGGCACAGTCCTCCTGCCTCACCTGACAGATAAGAAGCTAAATCGACCAGGCCAGGAGCCACCCGGGTAGTGGGTCCCAGGACAGTTACTGTCAGGCATCACTTCATCTCAGCATCACTTCATCTCAGCCTCTGACAAGGCCAAGTGCACACAGGGCTAGCCAGTACCATTCATGCTGTGGGCAGCTCCCAGGGCAGAAATGTAAGGAGTGCAGAATGCCTGAGACCACCCTTACTTTCTACCTTTTGACCATTTACAGCCTGGGGTGAGCCTGCCCACTCACCACCACCTCCTGTGGCCTAAGGCTCCGTGGTGTCAACCACCTCTGCTGATCTTAGGTTCTCGCCCTCAACTCTCCGGGCAGCAAGGGAAGGGGCTGTGGGGTACAGTCATCATCCACTCTTCCCATGAAAAGCAAAGCCTGTGGGTGTCCTTGTATGCTAGGCCTGGGGCAGTGAGGGACACCTGCCAGGCCACTAAGATAAGACACTGGTGACAGCCGTGTGCTGGACTCTTTCCCATGGATGTACTCTGGAAAGACTTGGGAGACAAACAGGAAGTGACAGACAGTGGACCAGGCTGTGTGGGGCCTTGTGCAGATTCCTACTGTCCCAGCCAACACTGACTGTCCCAGCCAACACTGACTGTCCCAGCCAGACTGTCTTAGGAAGGCAATGGGGACTGCCTAGGGCCCAGAGCAGGGCCTCAGGTGTCTTTTGGCCATGTCAGGAAAGAAGTCCTTGGCGAAGTCAGGCCTGACCTGGCCCCAGCTGCCAGCCTCCTGCAGGTGGCTTGTCCCAGAGTCTGCGGCATCATGAGAGGCCTGGAGCATTCTGATGCAGCCCTTGTCCTGGTGACATCTTCACCTGAGAGCCCACAGTCTGTGGCTCCCAGAACTCAGTTCCCACAGGAACCCCAGCTCACCACAAAGGACTGCCTTCTCCTTGTATGCCCCTGGGAACCTGCTCAGGTCATAGGGATACCTGCTTAGGGTTCCCGCCAGGAGATCTAAGTGATTGCAGGCACCACCACCACTCATGCTCACCAAGGCAGTCAGTGGAATCACCACACCCTGGAGGCACAAGGTGTGGGACTTCCTGGTAGGCCAGAGGAAGTTCCTTCATGCCTGCTGTCACAAAAGGAGGCAGTGGCTTGCACAACCAGCAAATTCCAAATATTTATGAGAGCCTGTGATGTGTGATAAGGGCCTCTGATGCCTTCCTAGGCACAGTGGTGGCTCCTGTTGACACCCTGCTCACTCCACATCCTGGTATTGCTGTTTTGAGCAATGGAGACCTGTGTCTGACCCCGGGGTGTGCCATTACCTCCAGGGACCAGGATCCTCCATGGGGCGGCCACCTTCCTGCATGTCCCCTCCCATTTTATTTTATTTTTTAAAACATTTTTCTTTTGTAATTTTTTGTTTTATGTAGACTGGTGTTTTGCCTTCATGTCTGTCTGTGTGTGGTGTCAGATCTTGGAGTTACAGACAATTGTAAGCTTCCATGTGGGTGCTGGGAATTAGATCCAGGTCCTCTGGAAGAGCAGTCAGTGCTCTGAACCACTGAGCCATCTCTTCAGCCTGTCCCTTCCCATGTTAGCGTGTAGGCAGAGGACTTGGAGTGGCTTATAGATGAACCTTATCCAAAGGCCTGGGTTCTGGCCTTCACTCTGTGCCTCTGGGGAACTGGAGGCACCTGACTGGGGAGGACACTTGAGTTGGGTCCCTGTCAACAATACTTAACCCCTTTCTGGAGAGTTCAGTGGGCCTGCTCTGTCCTTGATTGCTCCCCACCAAGAGCCAGACATAGGCAGGGGATAGGTCAGGCTTGGGTGTGTGGGGGCTCAGCAGGAAGGTATGGGGTGGAAACTGAGAAAGGGGTGGCTGTGACTCCCTAGGCTCAGGCTACTCCTGCCCTGAGGTCCCCAACTGGGGACACAGAGTCTGCGTATAGCAGAACAGAAGGCTAGGTTGCAAGCTATCCCTCTGTCTATGAACTGGTGACCAGTAGGGGCCTAGTGTGGCACCCACACACCTCCTTACCCTCATAGCCTCTCTCCCCTATGTCCTGTCCGTGCTGCCACCCCCCACCCCCACTTCTGTGCTCTCGGGGCCAACACGGGCTCCCAGTGTCCTGCGGATGGTCACAGTATCCTGTGAATGCTGTGCCTAGCGTGATGCTGTCACTGGTAAACTGAAGCAAGCCTACACCGTTGGGTCCTTCAGAGTGTCCCCCTGCCCTACAGGACGGCCCTCACCTATGTCAGCCTGCCCCATACTCTCAGTTGTGGGCCAGGTCCCTCCAGGAACAAGCTGTGCCGAGGAACAGCAGCTGTGAGCTGCTGTGCATGATGAGGCTTGGGTCCACCAGACAGCATGGCTATCCATAGACGGTTCTCATGCACTGTGATATTGGACAGCAGGCCCCAGTTGGACCCACTGGGTCACTGTGACAAAATGCAGCATGGAGCCACCCTTTGTCCACCCACCCCCTTTCGTGTCAGTATCTTCGTTGCTCAGACTGAATCTCCCATGGCCACTAATCACCTTTCCTTACTATGATAAAGGAATATGACCGTCCAAGGGTGGTGGCCAGGCAGGGCAGGGTGTCAGCTCCCATGTTCCTTGCAGAATTCTCACTCTGCCTAGCTTCTCTATCACCTCATGGCTCCTCTGTACTGGGCAGCCACAGCATTCCCCTTGCCATACTTAATCTGGCCATGCTGGTGCAGAGCTGGGGGTCTCATGCTTGGGGCAAGTCTCTACCCAGTGGTGGCACCTCAGTCTCTGTGATCTGTTGGGAGACCCATCTCCCTGTTGTGTGTACCCCCACCCCAGGTGCCTGGTTTACAGGTGACATTGTCAACAGAGGCTTTGCCAAGCAGACCCAGCAGGTGTGGCCAACCCACCAGCTCCTGTCCTCTAAGAGGGGACAAATCTGTGGAAACAGGCTGGCCAGAGGATTGTGCAGTCTTGGAGCATGTTGCCTTGAGCTAAGGTCCCTGGTGGTGTTGGGCTTAGCTGACCACTACCCAGTTTATCATGGTGACAGCATCTGCAGCAAGGCAGCTCTTAGCAGGAATGGTGGCCCCCCCACAGAGCTGGCGCTCTCTGCTAAGAATCTAGGTGTTTGCATTGCCACCATGCAACCCCCGCTGTGCTGTAGGCAGCTGTGATGGGTCCCCACACACTTGTAAATAGCCGCTGCACCCTGTCTTCTGGCTCTGGAGTGCAGGCGTCTCTTCTCCCGTTTTCCCTCCATGCCCAGGAGCTATGGAGGGCACTGATGGCCCTTCTACAAAGGAGCCCAGAGTGTGAGGGTGCAGCTTGCTTGTGACATGTATGGTGGCCAGTGATGGGAGCCCCAGTGGAGCTCTTGGGCCTTGGAGAGACTGGATTCCCAAATCATAGGTATGCTCCAGGCTCCCCTCTTCCTGCCTCATTGCTTTACCTGAGACTCTGGGTCCCCAGGCCCAGGTGCTGTCCCCCGGAAGCTGTGGCCCTGCCTCACTTCTCTGCATTTACCAGAAGAGTCGGGCCTTGTGGTGGGTGACATCCTGCCTCTGCTCAGCCTGGAGAAGCGAAACCGGCCTGTACAAGCCAATGGAGCTCCCTGGGAATATCCAAAGGAGGTAGTCTGTAGGGCCTGTTCTGGGAGAACTATAGCTACAGGGGCTGTGGGGGCCCCTACTCTCTTCCTGTCTCTCACTACCCTGAGCCCTGTTCTCTCTGAGAGAGACTCTGGGGAACCCCAGAAGCAGCCCTGTTCAATGGGCAGAACAGAGAGAGCCTGAAGGCCTTCTTCAGAGCATGGTGGGTGGCTACTCACAGGCACAGGGCTGGGAGGTCACTTCCTGATGTCTTTGGTCACTTCCTTCCAGGGCATTCTACACAGTCTTTACTGCCCCTGCCTGTGGTATGAGGCACCACATGTCCCTTGCAAAACCCTTGCCCATGTCAGGCAACAGCTCAGAGTCGGGGGCACCAAGGCCGTGGCCCATGAAAGCCTCACTGGCATCCTTCTCTCAGGAGGCCAGTCTGCTATTCTACATATGGGGTGTGCATACACCAGCCTGGAACAACCAGGCTGCCCTGCTTGTTCCAGAGGTTGGGTATGATGAGTGAGGATGGCTGTGGTGGACAGACCGGGGGAGCCTCAGAGGGGTGATAGACACTGTTCCGCATTCAGATAATAACATAGGGACTTGGTGCTCTCTGCCATATACCTGGGTCTCCAGCACAGGGTAATGGGCTTTGTCTACTACCCTACCCCAGGCTCTCAAGTTCTGGTTTCCTTGAGGGGCCATCCTTATTGTGGGTATCAGTGTTACAGTGGCAAGCACCAAGGATTTAGGAACACAGAAGTCTCCTGAAGCCTGCGGTGCCCATATGCGCAGGACACAGGGTACAAGCTCATGTGGGGCCTGCTTTGCCTCTCCCAAAATGACCGGGTCAACCCAATAACTGTGTAAAGTGGACAGTCCCCACAAGGTGCTGGGTTGAATCATAGCACACCCCAGCACTGACTCGGCACCCAGACTCCCCGTCAGCCTGTCTGTCCTGAAGGCTGTGTCCTTGACAGGCACAGCTGGTCCCCTCCTGTGCCCTCACACACCTCCTTCCTTCTACCCAACAGCTGGTCAGCGAGAAGGTTGGCGGGGCTGAGGGCACAAAGCTGGACGATGACTTCAAAGAGATGGAAAAGGTAGGGGTCTCAGGCACAGCCCGCTTCTGGAGGACAAAGGGGCCTGCACCATTCTGCCTCAGTGTCCGATGTTCCAACACTGACTTTCTTCCCAGAAGGTGGATGTCACCAGCAAGGCCGTGGCAGAGGTGCTGGTCAGAACCATCGAGTACCTGCAGCCCAACCCAGGTAGGTCACCCGGAAGTGGTGACAATGGCCCTCCTGACCTCTCTTCTCCTCGCCACCACATACAAGGGTCCCTTCTGCTGACTTGCTGGGCAGTAGGGCCAGGTCTTCCCAGGGACACAGGTTGGAGATGGAAGGAGGTAGAGTCCAGGGCCGTGGAGCAGACTGCAGTACCACAACCATGGCCTCTGCAGTCTCCACGACACTTCTTGTGAAGGCCTTAGGGAAGGGACACGTGGGATTGGTTCCTTCTTCGTTGAGTTGCCAAACCCCTGGGAGGGCATGAGAAGACACTGTTGTCACTTAGCCCACTGGCCAGCACGCAGGATATGTGGTCCTGGTCCAGAGGAGAGGAGCCTGTGGGTCCCACCTGGGCCGTCTTCCCTTGCAGCCTCACGGGCTAAGCTGACAATGCTGAACACTGTATCGAAGATCCGGGGCCAAGTGAAGAACCCTGGCTACCCGCAGTCAGAGGGGCTGCTGGGCGAGTGCATGGTCCGCCACGGCAAGGAACTGGGCGGAGAGTCCAATTTTGGTGAGGGGCAGCTGAGGGGTTGGGTGGGGAAGGCAGCCATGTCCGATATTCTGACCTGCCTTGGCATGTGGGGAACTCTGCCCATGACAGCCTCCCCTCCCTGCAGGCGATGCCCTGCTGGATGCAGGCGAGTCCATGAAGCGCCTGGCTGAGGTGAAGGACTCACTGGACATCGAAGTCAAACAGAATTTCATCGACCCGCTGCAGAATCTGTGTGACAAGGACCTGAAGGAGATCCAGGTGCCGCCCTATCCCTGGGTCCATGGGTAGGCGGGGAGGGTGCCCCCTGCAGCTGTGCTGCTCCATCACGTGTCTGCACCCACAGCACCACCTGAAGAAACTGGAGGGCCGCCGCCTGGACTTTGACTACAAGAAGAAACGACAGGGCAAGATCCCTGATGAGGAGCTGCGGCAGGCCCTGGAGAAGTTTGAGGAGTCCAAGGAGGTGGCAGAGACCAGCATGCACAACCTCCTGGAGACTGATGTGCGTGTCGGGTGGGCCAAGGACCCAGGACACCATTCCACAAGGATGAGGGGGCTGCCCTCCCAGGCTAGGGTGCTGGTCCTCCAGGGCGGGTGCATGGCCATGTCATCTGGCCGCTTCCTGTCCACAGATTGAGCAGGTGAGTCAGCTCTCAGCCCTGGTGGATGCCCAGCTGGACTACCATCGGCAGGCAGTGCAGATCCTGGAGGAGCTGGCAGACAAGCTGAAGCGTAGGTGAGTGGTGGCTTCCCTCCCACCCCCTGCAGTTCCTGTGACCACTGTGCATCCAACCTGCCAGGCCAGGCACAGGGTTTAGTTGTGCCCTGCCTGATGCTGGGTTGTATCAGTGAAGGGTCCTTGGAGCTGTGTGTGTTAATAGCAGTATGTCCCAGAAGGGAGCAGAGCCCTATGGGAGATGGCAGTGGTGGCGTGAGCCAGAGAATGGAGTTAGCTGGGTCAACTGCTCAAGTTTACATCCTCTACCTGCTTTTGTCAGGTGGCAGCTCTGGCCAGGGATGTCACTGCATCCTCACTGCACAGGGTATCTTTGAGGGCAGAGGTGGTTGGCAGTTTCCCTGACGGGGTTGAAGGGGAGGGACAGATGCGGCTTAGGTTAGGGCCAGCCCGTGCCCTGAGGCAGCAGCAGAAACAACAGGGTAGAAGAAGAGGGGTGTGGGAACTCTGGGATTTCCATTCCTGCAGAGTGCAGGAAGCCTCCTCACGCCCCAGGCGGGAGTTCAAGCCCCGGCCTCGGGAGCCCTTCGACCTTGGAGAGCCAGAACAGCCCAATGGGGGATTCCCCTCCGCCCCAGCACCCAAGATCACAGGTAACAAAGCCCCATGGCCGGTTCCCCGGGCTGGAGATTGCTGTTCAGCCACTCACACCAGCTCTCCTCCACAAACAGCTTCTTCGTCATTCAGATCAGCAGACAAGCCCGCCAGGACACCCAGCAGGAGTATGCGTGAGTGTCCAGGGGTGGAAGTGGCTGCTGTCTTTGGGGGTGAGAGAGGGGGAGAGGGGGCTACTTTCTCCCCACCACTACCACAGCTGCTGCAGGTTGCTTATGTGGGGTCACTAAAGTATCAAAGCGGGGCCAACCTCCACCTGCCTTGGCCTATGTGCTGTCGTATCCTGACACCCCTACCCTGATTCCAGCACCCCTGGACCAGCCAAGCTGCAAGGCACTGTATGACTTTGAGCCTGAGAATGACGGTGAGCTGGGCTTCCGCGAGGGTGACCTCATCACACTCACCAACCAGATCGATGAGAACTGGTACGAGGGGATGCTGCACGGCCAGTCGGGCTTCTTCCCGCTCAGCTATGTGCAGGTGCTGGTGCCCCTGCCTCAGTGACCATGCCTGCACTCTGACTCCCTGCACATTGTGGCAGCAGCCTAACGCCAAGGTGCTCTAGAAACACTAACGTTCCTCCAGGGGGACCCTCCTCCTCACTCTCCCAACCCTGGGCCCCCATTCCTAAGACTTGGGAAGGTCCACCCTGAGGTCCTATTGCCTTCCTGATGGTGGCAGCTCCCACCTGTTTCAAACCCTCCCAGCCCGTTGCTGGCGATGGGCCCTGGCCCCTTTTCCAGGCTCCCCAGAAGCAGGTGGGCCCTTGGAGTCTCCATTCTGCAAGCTGAGGCTGGCCAGTACCCCAACTTGACACACAGAAATGCTTAGCACACATGTGCACACCTCCCACGGGACCACAGAACCAGCCTCAGCCCTGCCGAAGGCCAAGCACAAAGGCCCCGAAGAGAGGACATTCCCAGGTCCCTGGCAAAGTGAGACAGCTCCATTGCTACCTGTCCATGTGACCCTGCACCTGTGGGTTACCACAGCCCCAGCTCCGCATCATACCCTGCCAGGTGCCAGCAAGTGAGGCCTCCAGCCTGGGCTCAGTCACATTCCTCTCTACAGTGTTCCCACAACCTATGGCTCATCCCTGGCATGTGGGGCCACACTCCACATCCCCAGTGGGCAACAATGTCCCGCTCCAGCCCGGGCTGAAGTGAACTCTACTCCTGATTTTTTTTAAAGTATTAAATGTCTCTTTCTACAGCCATTGCCCCATCTTAATTCAGCGTGACCCTGTCTCCTTGCAAGGGCCTACACAGCCCCACCACCCCACCCCAGCCCAAGGACCCCACAGAGCCTAACTGCCCCCCCCCCCAGCCACAGGCTCATGCTGTGGGTACTTAGACTTTATTATCCAGCCCAAGGGTTCCCAGAGCCTGCTGTCCTACCCCAGCCACAGGTCCGTGCGTGGGTACTTTATTGCCCAGTCTGTTCCAGGACAGCAGGGCCTGCATGGCCTCAGCTCCCCTGCTTGAGCATGCTGCAGACCTGCTCCAGCACATGGCACATGCCCTGATCCTTTGGGGTCCTGCTGGCCAAGGATATCTGTAATAGCAGGACTGGGGTCAGGCTCTGCCCTTGACAGGTATCCCCTACCCCCCTAGGGCTACAAGCCAAGTAAGGCCCTGCCAGGGTGAATGGGTTCAGTACTCGGTAGGCCTGGGCTACCAAGACTTTGGTTCTGTAAGAAATTTCTTTGGTTAGGATTTGAGAGCAGGGTCTTGACTGTGTAGCCCAGGCCAACCTAGAACAAGACACACACACTCCACACACACATGTGCACGCCTTTGGGTGCTGGTTGACAGTGTGTACCCCACTGAACCTCACAGTCTAAGCGACGACGTACAGTGCAGAGCACCCTCCTGGGTGAACTCCACACAAAAGGAGGGGACCTCAGGCCACATGCAGGAGTCAGTAGTTGGCAAAAGGGTTCACCTGGCCACCCAGGTCCTGTGACCTCCCTTCCCCAAGACTCTGGGAAGTGGTTTGTATTCCCCACAGGACCCAGGCTGCAGGGTTGCAGTCTCACCTTGAGCTTGTCCAGGTAGGTATGCTCTGGGCTCCAGGCCTCCTGGAACCTCACGAGGTCAGGGGCGCCCTTGTAGAACTCTGCCAGCAGCACCTACAGGGCAAGGGCAGCACATCTGGCTCCTGTCCATTCTTGGCTCTGCAGCTCTCCCTCAGTTGCCAGGAGGGGCTAGGTCCACGTCACCACAGTGCAGACCTGCCCTGGCTCTGGTCTAGCCTCCTCCCAAGAAGTCACACCCATGATCCCTCAGGGATGACAAAGTCATTAAAAGACAGCCACACATGCAGGTGTGTTGCAGGCACCTACATCTTAGCACTGAGGAAGCTGGAAGAATAATTGTAAGCTTGGGCTACATAGGAAGGCCATATCTCAAATAAAACAAGTGGACCACAGCCACGACAAATGGCTCACCATCTCTTGAAGGACATCACTGGTCAGGAAGGTGTCCTGGACATACGCCATCTCTACGTCCATAGGGATGCCATAATCACTAGGCCTTTGCTGCTAGGAGAAATGGGATCAGTCAGGGAGGCCTTGCCTGTGCCAGGGGCATCTAGGGTCTGAAGTTAAGGGATGTGGGAAGCCAGGGCATTACCCAGAAGGGCTTAAGACTAACCACTGAAATGCTACTGAGGCACAGCTGCTCAATACATCCCCGAACTAGATTCCCCTGCCTAAGACACATCACATTCTCCAGCCTCCAAACATCTGCCCAGCTACGACCCTACTGTGCCCACTCACATCCACGCCCCTCAATTTGTCATCTTCTGGCTTACCCACCTCAGGGGGAGGCATCACCCAGAAAGGACAGATCTTGGACTCAGGGCCTGGGTTGCCAGAATAGTAGGGGGCTGTGGGGACAAAGATAGAGACTGGGGACTCAGTGGTCCTGGCAGGGTGTCCCCCAACCCTGTGCCCAGCTGGGGGCCTCACAGCACAGCAGGGCCAGGCAGGGCTGGAAACCATTGCTGGAGCCTTGCAGTCTCAGCTGGTACTCCATCTGTGCGTCGATGTCCTGCAGGGAGGGCACTGCGGGGCTGTGTGGGTGACTGTGGTACCAGCCCACCAGGGATAGGCCTCGAAGGAATAGCACCTGGTGGATCTGGAGGCAGAGAAGCTAGGGTTGGGGTGGGGACCACCAGAGCCTTGAGCTGCCCAGAGTCTCACACAAAGGCAGTTAAGGGGCTTCCCCCTCCCCTCAACTATGGCAGGAAGTATGATTAACGAATACATCTGGGGCAGGAGACAGTTCAGTGCGTAAGAGTGCTGGCTGCTTTTGCAGAGAACCACAGTTCAGTTCCCAGCACAGGCTGCTCACAACTGCCTGTAACTCTGGTTCAAAGAATCAGATGCCCTCTTCTGGCCTCACTACATACACACACCTTTTTTTTCTTTTTCCTTTTTTCTTTTTGTTTTTTGAGACAGGGTTTCTCTGTAGCTTTGAAGCCTGTCCTGGAACTAGCTCTTGTAGACCAGGTTGGCCTCAAACTCACAGAGACCTGCCTGCCTCTGCTTCCCGACTGCTGGGATTAAAGGTGTGCACCACCGCTGCCTGGCTTTTTTTTTTTTCTAATTTAAATAAGTACATCTAGCTGGCTGGGTGGTGGTGGTGGTGGTGGTGCACGCCTTTAATCCCAGCACTCGGGAGGCAGAAGCAAGGTAATCTCTGAGTTCGAGGCCAGCCTATTCTACAGAGCAAGTTGCAGGACAGCCAGGGCTACATAGAGAAACCCTGTCTCAGCCTATTCTACAGAGCAAGTTGCAGGACAGCCAGGGCTACATAGAGAAACCCTGTCTCAAAAACAAAAACAAAAAAAATTCCATTTACACATAGCAACAGGCCTATCTTCCCAGTACTCACAAGGTACAGCAGGAGGATGCCTCATTCTAGACCAGCCTGGGCTATACAGCAAAAGCCCTTCCTTGCCATGTAAAGTGCCAAGCCAGCATTTCCACCCCAGACATGGCCACTGTCCTGGCCACCAGGACAACTAGCCCCACCCAACAAGCCCTCACCTCCTCCTCAACAGTGGCCGCCGTATCAGCGTCCCCCAGCCGACTCCTGCAGGGGAAGGCTCTCAGCACGGTCAGCACTGTGGGGGTACCCAACAAGAAGCTGTCAGTCTTGTCCAGACGAGCCCTCGTCCACCCGGTCCCATTACGCACTCTGATTGTTGATATCCCAGCGACCACCAAGGTAGCCCACGACCTCACTCCGAGTCAGGTGACAGTGGAAGTCCTGGGAACGAAGGGGGGGAACAGACTGCACTTCCTGTGTCAATGTAGGAGCCAGCTCAGCCTCCTGTGTGCGTTTATCAAGCACCTGCCACTAACCTAGGGATGGCACTCACTGATGAGCGCCTGGCGTGTGAAAGCACCAAAGGGAAAATGAGCTCCTATTACTTTCTAATAGCAAGCACTTAGTGAGTACCCATTGTATATCATATCCCTGACTCCTCCGTGCCCCCACCCAGGCCAGCGAGTTCCTTGACGTGGAGGGTGACCAGGCACAGTGGCTTTAGTCACTTACCATGAGGAACAGCACGTTACTGGAAACGGCCACGTTGAATGGCTGGAACTTGTTGATGGCAGCAAAGGATGTTACTTCTACCAGAGTGTGGGGGTTCCTGGAGTGGCGGGAAGGGTGCCAGGGCTTCAGGGAGTCAGGCTCTTCCCAACCCTACTGCCTCCTGAGGCCTTCCAGCAGCTGAGGCCCTGCCAGATCTTAGCCTCGTGACACCAGGGAAGCCAGGACCAGGGCAGAGGGGGCAACTGACCTGGCAGAGTCACGACTGCCCAACATGCAGTAACGCACTGGCACCTGGACCTTGTCCACACGCTTGCCCAAGGGTGTGGCCTCTGGGGAGAGGGATGAGAGAGAAGTCAGTGTGAACCCTCCCTTCCATTCTCTTTGCAAAGAAGCAAGGATGTCCAAGAAATAAGAGGAAGTGGGGCCAGCAAGATGGCTCAGTAGGTCTTACAACCAGGCCTGATGACCTAAGTTTGATCACCAGAACCCACATGGTAATAGAAGGGACCCAAGTCCTGAAAGGTGTCCTCTAACACATACCCTTGACCCCAGCTCTCAGGAAGCAGACATCTCTGTGAGTTCCAGGCCAGCCAGGCAGAGAGTGAAATCAGGCCTAAGAAACATCAAAGCCAGCTTCTGACATCACAGTCCCCTCCTCTCCGGCCTCTCACCTGGCTCAGAGGAGACCTTCCCAGGCGGTCTGCGGCCTTTGTCCTCTGCTGAGACCCCCGCCAGCACATCTTCTTCATCCTCCTCCAGTAACAGCTCCTCCTCCTCCCCTTCGCTGGTGGGACTCTGGTGGAGTGGGGGTATAACGGCAGTAAGATCACTCACACCCCCAAGTACTCTCTAGAGTCCAGGTCTGAGCTCGAGATGTCATTGCCTTGAGTGACCACCAGGGGGTGATGGTGAGCAGATGAGCCCAAGGTGCAGCTCCCTCTGCCCATAGCATTTCATGGCTCCCACCCCGTTTAGGATCAAAGCTGAAGTCCTTCCTCCAGCCGAGGAGGCCCTGCTGGCCCTGTCTGTCCTTCCCTGCCTCCCTCCTTCCTTGAGATTTGTTTCTACAACACGCAAGGCCGTGTCCTACCCCAGAGCCTTTGCACACCTCCTCCAACAGCGCACCACGGGTAGTCACCTCATCTGCAGCAGCTACTGGCATATGCAGCTGGTGTCGGCGGAGCCAGGCAGCCTTGTACTTGTCGAGTTTCTGGCCCTTATACTTGACCGACGCCCAGCCACAGCCGGACTTCTTGGCCGGGTTGACGAGCTTCTTACAGTGTGTCGCCCAGGCGCTGGGTGAGTTAAAGACCTGTCCAGTTTCCTGCCACAGGATCCTGCCATCCGGCTGCAGGTCCCCAATGAACTTCCTGCCCTGCAGGGAGAGAGAGGGCTGGGACACGCCCACTCCCAGAGATTCCTGACTCTATGCTCCCTGAGGCTTGGCGTCCATGTTCTTCTAGGGCTCACAAGAGGCATTTTTCTAGGAACACCATCTGTCACACCAGTACAGCACCCCGGCACTCAATACCCAGCTTTGAAGTTAAGCAACAGCAGCCAGACCCGACATAGCAAGGCAGGACTATCAGCCCAGATACTGGGGAGGCTGAGACAGAAAGACCACAAGTACAAAGCTTTCCAGGA